AAATAAAGAATAAGAAATTGAACAGAAAGCATAGACACTGGGGCATGGAGCTATGACCCTCTGACAAACATCGCACGTTAACGCTTAGCTGACTTTAAAGCCACCCTCTATTTTTTCAATAAAATGTCTGTACTTGGTTTGTCTCGTGTAGTGCTGGATCCCGTGTCTGGCATTTAGAACTGGTAACAGGACGCGAAGTCCAGAAAACTCACAGGAATGTAGTGGGAATATGTTGCTGACAGGCATCTGACTGGTTTGAAAACTGATTAACGTGAACCATGGTGCCATTTTACCTACACTTTACATAGCTATCCACACGCTTAGTCATACCACACACTGGTGTGTTGTGTATATGCTGGTATATTTTCTGGGGGGGGCACCAAACACAGTCAAGCTGGACTAGATTAGTCAATGAGGACTAGTGGCTGGTGTTCATCAGTACCAAGCTCTGAATGCTGACAGTGAATATGCTAACTGCTAACGCTGTCGCAGTCATAGCCGACGCCTTGATTTTACCTCTCCAGCTCTTGTGCATTTGTCATTAAAGATGTGAATTCCTGATGCTGGCTGGTATATAGACCGGAGATCAGAGCCGAGTTTGGGAAGTCCGGCCTGGCTCAGGTGGTTTTAGGAGAGGGAGCCTGTCAAACACACCGTGGCGGGAATGTGGGAGGTGGGATGTAGCTAATTAAGTCACAGCATAAATGCCAGGAAGTGCCATACCACAGCAGCTCCAGCTCGCTGATTCGCAGCTCGCTGATTCAGGGCTCAGGGATTTACAGGTCCGTCGCAGCTACTCTCTGCTTCCCTCTTATCTCGGATCAGCTGGGGCAGCCATGTGAGACGGAATGTAGCGGGCTCAATGGGTGGCTGTCCGTGACAATAGGCCGACGGAGCTGGACGCCTCTCTTTCTGGAGCTTTCCCTACGTTACAGTGTAACGTTCGCACTCGGTCTCTGAAATCCTCGCGATGCCTAAATATTATTGACCAGCGTTAACAGAAGACCAGGTTTAGAGCATGCAAAATGTCCTGTAATAAACTAAATTCCATAAAAATCCATTATATAACTAAAATGCAGAATTACTTATCCTGTACAGCAGGGGTGGTGAACCTGATCCATGGAGGACCAGTGTGGGTGCAGGTTTTTTGGATCGCTTCTCAGTCAGCCAATAACAGTGGGTCCCCAGGACTGGAGTTGAGCACCACTGCTTTATTATTGGTTGATTGAGAGGCCATCCCAAAAACCCGCACCGACCCTCCATGGAACAGGTTCCCCACCCCTGCTGTACAGGGTGGCAGTGGACACCTTACCCTATATATACAGCATATATATGCACCCTTTTAGTATCAATACCATCAGTATCTTATGGTTTTGAGCATATTTGTTATTGTGGAAGCATGAATCATTTTTATAGGCCTGTGGATATCGATTTTTTCTCTGGTGAGTTACCCCAAGCCATACTAACCACAAACTGGGGGGGTTATTTAGCTTGTCATGCTCTGTGTTAAACGTCTGATTATTGGTATCATTGAATCTTTCTTATTCACACATCGACACAGCAGACATTCTCTACACTGGTGTAGTTTACCGTCCTTTCCTTCAGGAAGTGCTGTGTTAGTTTCCTTGATTGCGGTATAAACTGGTCCCCAGCATGTCCCATCTGTGGCCCAGGGCTGTGACCAATCTGATGATTTCACCTGAACGTGGCTGTCCCACTTAGGTTCTTAGTCTCTGGGGTCATGCCCTATGTCCATCCCTGTTGCGTAGAACCTGTAGGTCTTTTGAGCTTCTAACTTGGACTATATAAGTGGCAGGAAGCAGAGTGCTAAGAGAGTGAGAAGAAGGTGAGGCATGTGCAGGATTCATGTACCCCAACACCTTGGTTTCACTAGTGCTGTAACACTCACAACATTGATGCTCAAAGAGTCTCTATCAATGCTGTTACCTTTCAGAACGCCTTTGGTTGTCACATATATGTGACCTTTGCAGATTCGGCCCCTTCAAGGACACCATTGTGTTGTTATCATTACCCTGTCGCCTATGTGTGGTTCATCCATTGAGACGTCTTTGGGTTATGGGTGCTCTGTGTCTGTGCTGTAAAATTGCATTATGTTCTGAATTAAGGGTTAGGTTCCACCCTCTCCCGGGGTCTCCCAGCCTGTAATCTCCCACTTACCTTCTCCATCCCATGGGCACACACACACACACACAGAATTACACTAGGTTTGAGGACTGAGGTGCTCAGCTGAAAGACGACCCAAAGACATAGAGACAAATGAAACTGGGGGGGGGGACGCAGCTGCGGGTGCACGATACCAGGGTTTAATTGCCCAGTCATTTTATTTGTATGGAACAGTGTTTCCTCCCAGCTAAATTGGTCTGGTGTTGGGGATCTTTTAGTCATTCTGAAAGATTTAGGTCTTTATTTGTATCTCTCAGTGGTGAGTAACATTAGCTAATGTAGCACATATCTAATCCATACTGAACTCGCAGCTCCTTCAGGATTGACTGTAGGTTCAGACTCAAACATCCAGCCCAGTCTAGAGTCTGGTCATGGGGTTTGGTTATGGTTAGGAATGTTGCTTGGATTCAACATTTCAATGACGTTCAAACCACATGACCTGCTGTCAACAAACCAGGTAAGATTGACTCTTTTACCAAGTTTACACTCACTACTGAAATGATATTTACCTGTAAATTCTTTCAACTTGTATTGTTTATATTTAAATTTGTTTGGGTAGCTTGATGTCCAAAATGATTAAAGATTTTTTAATAAATTATTATAGGGCATATCCTGGAACTTACACCAATGTCCTTCAAGTTTATAGTCCATGTTGTTAACCACTATGGTATTAAGTTTGAAAAGCTGACTCTTGTAAATTAATCTGCCCATGAATTTAACCTGGCCAACGATGGCTGTAGACTGTCCTGGTTTTCTTGCCTTTTGCTCTAGCATTAATTGTTTAGCTGAATTGATTTGGGTGGTAATCACATGCACATTTCAGTGCAAATCCTTAAACAACAGGGATCCGGATACCAGGAACAGCCTCGCTACTTGTAATGATGGCAGATGAATGACTTCAAGTTCACCCTTCTTCGAAAAATGCTTCTCATGTACTCATTAGCATTTTTGAGTACGAGTAGAATGACGTCACCCAAAGTGCACTATGCGGACAGTGGAAATATTTAAAGATTCTGCTCTTCCGGAAAGGGAGCCAGGCCATGAGCTCATTACAGAATTTGTCTTACATTTTGCAGGACGCAGAATAATATGAGCAAGTATTTCTGTAGCTCCCTTCAAAAGACATCAGCACCTATAATGTCATCCCATATCTTTTGAGGCATATAGTTGCTCGCTTAAGGCTCCACTGGAGATTTGACCATTCTGCTGAGGATGGGATTCAAACCGATGACCTTCCTATCATGGGTACAGAGGTCTAACCTGCTGAGTAACACATCGCCCACCTTTTATCACCATGCTAAACCAGTCCTGGCGCTGGCTATGGACCTCCATGAACAAACCCTACCAGTTAATTCATTCGATCGCCTCGGCCTCCTGAAAGTTCTGATGGAAATATTAAGACTTTATTGGGGCTTCGACCCACAAGGTGCTGAAGGTGCATAATCAAATGTGGGCCCACAGGAACCCCGCTGAATCGATACCCTCAGTAATAACGTCATTAATACTGGAAAGGAATGAGGACCAGCAGGAGAGATGGCGTGGGAGTCATTGGTAAATTGATCCCATTAATTATGGTTATAAATGGTCAGTGTTGGGGATGCATTTCTCAATAAATAAAATCCAAGCGATTTCTGTGTGTGTAATAGAAAGTACAATTGAATACAGATACTTTACTAATGCCTGTGGGGAAATTGTCTTTTTTCCTACCCCATCTTGCTCTCTGTGAGACACACGTAGAGGTCAGGGCAGGTTTGGGGGCTACAGTACAGGGTCAGCCAGCATGCAGGGCCCCTGAGTTTAAGGGCCTTGCTGAAGGGCCCAATGGCAGCATTGTGTGTGACGATCGTCTACTGGTTCAGGATTCAAACTGCTGACCTTCTGAGTCCTAACCCGCTGAGCCACAAACAAGAAAGGAAATCCCCCCCTTTTTCGTAATGCACTCGGAAGCTGAACTTATTAAGATAAGCCCTGGGAATGAGTCCCACTCAGGATCCCAGCCACCATGGTAAAACGTAATGAGATGTATAAAATATTCTGGTGATTTGCCCAAGTTGCAAAATCAATTTGGGATATTGATTATGAAAATGAATATTGTCACGAATGACCTATGGACTGAGCCTCGTTGGATAGGACAGTGGAAGGAAGGAGTATTTCGGAGGGTAAAATATGTATTTACTGCTGGAAATAGGACGCAAGGACATGCAGTCAGTGTTTCCTTTTTCTCTGAGGTAAAGCAGCTGCAGTTAAGGTTAGCCTACATAGCCCCGCTTTGTGGGACTCCGTTGCGTCATTTCAAGTTAAAACGAATTGCCTTCAAAGGCCACTTTCACCTACTTTCTTAGTCCAGTTCTGCAGATACGTGATACGCCTGCAGACTCACTACTGCTGGTTCCATACCACAGGGGTTTGCAATTGAACTTATGTTGTTTGTCTTTGAATGTGTCATTCAAATCACATCTTAAAATGTGTCATTTTTTTCTGACAGCCGCACAAGTTTCTTTAAACAGACCTATTTGTTGTGTTCCAATTCTTATATTCCCCCCTGCTGCACACAGATGCTCACGGATATTTTGTGCCTATTAGCCTCAAGACTGTATGCTGGGGGTCATAGGTGAATGGGTGCTGCTGGAGCGCCCCCTGAAGGTTAGGAAGATGGTCTGCAAGTACTTTGGAGTGTAAATGTACCTGTCGGAAAGATTAAGGCAGAGCGGCTTCATCTTCTGTCCTGGGAGGGGCTCATATTTGGGTGTCTTCCCTGTTAATTGGGACGATCTGCGTTTTTCCTGCTGCAATGTTGACGAGCTGGGGGGGGAGAATCAGAACCGAAAGTCAGGCTATTTATAGAGCACTTGTCCACATGCGGCGGAGGAGCAGCCCAGCCCGACCCGGCCCCGTTCGTATGTCAGCACCGTGCGCCGCTAACCCTCCTCGCCGAATCAACGTAGGAGCCAGTGCTCTGATGCTACCGCTTCCTAAATTCCTGCCCCCCCTCCAGCAAGCGGCTCCATTTCACAGACGGGAACAGGTGCCATCCCTCTTCTGGTCCGACTCACAGCATGTTCGCCGGCTAGAGCGGGAAGTCTGGACTCTCGCCGCGTCGCTCCCGCCATCGCCATACTTCGGATGTCGTGTTCCCCGGGGGGGTGTGCGCGGTTTTTTGGGGGGGAAGGGGGCAGGCCGTGCTGTGAGCACCAGGGAGGACCCGTCCCCGGTGTGAACACAGGATGAGGGGCCGGGGCCGTGCCATGGGAGCTGCATGTCAGGGCCATCCGCCGACTGCGGGCGCACAGAAAGGTTCCGGCGCTTTCCGTCCGCTTCGCAGCACCATGGTCGGCAGAGTCCTGCCGAGGTTTCGCTGGGGGTTACCAGGAGACTGTGCACAGGTCAGACGTGATGATGCGACGCTGTTTCGCCTGCTGTGAACTTCCCGGAATGTATACCGTTTTCCGAGCCGTGTGAATGGCATCGACGGCAGGAATTTCATCGGCGTTCCAAATGCCTTGACCCCCCACCCCCCAACTCGGACTGAAGCTGCCTGTCCTGCTATTCAAGCGGAACAATGAATCTCTTCCCCTCAGGTGAGTGTATTTCTGGAGAGTTAATACTGAAAGAAAAACAGTGAGTATTTGGAGTGTGTGTGTGTGACCTTCACGTAGTCTCTGTGCTTTTTTCATACCTTAGTATAATTAACAGCCCTTATTTAATGACTGCAAAGAATTTTGGAAAAAAATAAAATACTAAAAACCTTGCCCGCTTCCTTAGAAGCTGGACGGAAAGCATTGGAAAGGCGCTCGTGATGAACGCGGCACCCTGACGCTCCACGCTAACTGAAGACTCGGCCATGCCCGCTGAGTGAGATCGCTCCAGATTCGGCGTCCTTTAATCTAGGAGCGAAAGCGGATTTCGGCTTAACCCCCCCCCCCCCCCCCGAGCAAGTGTAAGAGATTCTAGTTCTGGTGACATGCCAGCGGAAACACTCGCCTTTCAGCGTGCCTCAGTCTCATTGGCCAGGGCGCCTGCCGGCCCTCGCAGGGCGACAGATGGCGGCAGTACGAACGCCTCGATGAATCAGGAGTTACCTTCACGAGTAAAATCCATTGCTGCTGCAGCCACGTCAAGGTTGATGCTTTCGCTGTGTGTTGACTTTGTGGAGGTAGGCATCATGGATGAAATCACTACAATTAAATATGGCTTCTTCAGTAAAAAAAATCATTTGCATGAAGTGTGCAGTGATGTTTGACTGGAAGAAAACTTTTTTGCATCTCCATGAATACACAACATTCATGATGAAGTCTCGAAACCCATCTGTTCCAGGAACACCTCTACTAGCCTGATTCCAGTCCATGTTCCCTGAAGGCTCCTAACGCTGCACTCCCTACTCATTGAATATTTGTCTTATTAGCTTCCTGCTTTGTTTGGAAGATGCTGTGTAGCTCTTGCTCCTGTACTGCTTACACTGTTACCTGGGCATTCATTGGAAGCTCAGCCTAGCTGCACTTATGTAGAGTCGACTCCTTAAAAGTCGTATGTTCATAATGTGCTATTTACCTGACTTGCACATCGCTTAGACTGCTAAATAAAATACATGTAAATGTAATGATAAAACACTGGAATTCTCAGACACTCCATCATCTTGTATCATGATCCCTGTTCCATTTGTATCTGGTTTAAAAACCGTTTAACAGCATATCTTCCGTGTGTAAAATTCAGCAGCATCCTCTGGGCGCACACAGCCTAGGCAATCAGACCACCTCATTATGCCTGTGTATAGAACTGGCCCATTACTGGGAACATTGTCTTCTTACAGGATTTATTTTCAGAAGCTGTTTTCCGGTTGTGCATTCTGTTCCATTCGTATCCGAAAAAATGTTTCGTTTTCTTATGCTTCCGTAAGAGGTTCTTGAAACATTTTTGATTCTAAGTATAAACCCAGACGCTTACATGGTGAAGACATAAAGGCAACCCAGGCACATTAACCTACATGTGTGATTGTGCGTGACGATACTTAGTGTTTAATTTTAATTGTTAATTTTCAACTGATTTAAAACATTTTCTGTTTTAAATAATTGATGCCGTCTACGTGGTAGTTAGCTGAAGGTTATTTATTGGTGATAAATACATAAATGCATTGGATGGACGGGGTCAGTTATGAGTGATCAGGATGCTTTGAGGATTTGGTCATTATATTCTCTTGAAATGATGAGATTGTTCGCTTTCTGATTGGATAGTGAGAGGATGCGGGAGGGGCAGGGTACGCATGTCTCATTGGCTGGGATGCCACTTGAGAGATGACACCTGTCTTTCAGGCATGTATTAAATCCCACAAATTGACATCATAAACGGGGAAGAAGATGGAGGTGGTGGGATGGGGCAGGGTGTGTGTCACGAGCACCCCCAGAAAGGTCTATGAGATTTATATCTCATTCTTAAACCAGTTCTGCAGATTTCCATTTGGTGCATTGGACAAAAAGGTTTATTTTACTGCAGTAAAATGTCACAGGCACATTTTTCTCTCTTGATGTGAGATTCTCAAGTATTGTGTCAGTAAATAAGAATGATTTCTTGATAAGGTATGTCTTCAGGCACTGGTAATTTGGGGAATTAATATCACGCAAGCTGAAGTTCCTGCTTTTACTGAACGATGAAAATCCCAGCGGTCTGCAGTCTTTTGTATTTGGCCACTGTGTTGTAACATTTAACCACTATTTCCTTAGATGTGCCCTGAGCAGGGTAAAGTAGCTAATATGTATGTCCCAGTACTGTATGGATGTTTGCAGAAAAAACATCAGAAGCCCCTTGAAAATGAGTTGAAACTGCATTCTTTTGGGGTGTGTTTATGAGGGTAGAGGCAGTCGGCTTTGGGTGTGTATGTTCATGTCACTTTGACCCAAAGTAAGTGGATTCATAGAGCGAGTTAGAGTGTGAGATGAGAAGAAACACCCCAGGAAGGGCCACAAGTCCCTGCAGTAACCGCTGAAGGACCGGCTCTTAAAACGAGCAATTAAAAGGTCATTAAAAAGGAACACGACTCATAAGAATGACGTTCTTTCCTCTCGTCTCTCTGAGTTATTTTTAAGGCTAATTAATAACCCTAAAGGGCATTTTACCGCCTCGACTGAGTAAAATTTGGTTAGACTGTTCTTGCTGTACTGGTTTTTATTAATTATCGATTGGGGCAAATAGTCACTTCCTTGACCAGTCTTCTGGTTAGCAGGTTGATGGTGGTCTTCCTACTTCCTCCTTTTGAACAGTCAGCTCTCCTGCTGTGAAACGATTAAAACCCCTTTAATCCCACCAGTGGGATCTCTTTTCCACCCCGTGTTCATTGTTCCCTAACCTGTGATGGGCTGTTTTTATTTTTTCCCCCTTTCCGCACAAACACTTCACTTTAGGGAACACAGACATCTCCATTCAGGCGATTCTGTGGTCGTCCTCGTGCCAGCGGTGGCTGTCCGTCCCGCGCGTCCATCCGACAGCTGGCCCAGGCCGCTCTCGCACCCGCCTGGCACGCCACAGAGGGCCCGCTTTGTTTGTTGGGGAGAGGAGTGCCGTGTGTATAAAGGGCCTTTGAACGCTGTCTCAAGGCCGTAATGTGTATGGGCCCACCTCCTCCCTGGCACCGGTGAAAGGAGGCCTTGTCTGTGGCCCGCCGGGTTCAGGGCCGTGACCTGTTCTTGAGTCCAATGGAACAACGCTCCCTGGGTGACATTTTGATAAATGCCCCGCCCCCTTGGACCACGGACGAGCACGTCGTTGGTTTAGCTTCCGGTAAGTGTGGTCGCACTTGGTGATATTTATATAAGACAAATGAGGACACCACTGTCAGTCACAATGGAGGGGGGGCATACCTGAATCCGGCCGCGTTTATGCACCGGCGTGGCACCATCTCCACCATGGAGACCTCTTTAAACATGCCATCTCCTTTTAGGGCAAATTAAACGCACTGTCCATCATGGGCCTGTTTGACGGACGAGTAAAGACGTTTCAATGCCTCACACGCACGCTGTCGCTAAGCGTTAACAGCCAAAGCGCTTTGGGTTAAACCTCCCGCCTGTCTGAGACGCCTGCTGGCAGAAGGTCTCTTCGCACAGGACGCCCACATGGACTCTATCAATCGGGCAGATTTATTCTGAAGATGAGTGTCTGGGTCCCACTGGGGAGCTTCTTCTGGTCCCTGAAAGTGGTGTCTTCACCGCGAAGCTTGGCTCTGTATGATAACTTCAGAGTAACGCAATGTCTGGTGTACCTGCCTTTGGAGAACCTTATTTTCCATTAGCGGTCCCGTGTTTATTTTGTTTAAACATCAATATCTGATACTCATGAAACAGAAGTATCCTGTATGTCTACCTGTAGGCCATCTTCTGTTGATGTTTTGTGCACCACGAGTTCTCACAGCTCCGTCCCTGCCGTCGTTCATGTTGACATCCTCTTCCGCATGCTGCGCTCATCACTGGAATGCATTCAGGCTATTTTTGCTGTCCTTCGACACAATGTCGCCCGGTGCCGTGACCTTGACTGGATATGTGTGTTAGAGCAGATTGTGGTTTGTCCTGCGATGTGGACGCCATGTTGTTTCTGAAGTAAAGTTCATCGAGAGGCAGTTCCGTTTAATCACTCCTTCAGCCAGATCCTGTCATCCTTTGTCTTCTCTCCGTGCTACCGGAGGCGTCTCACTGGCCTTCCTGCCGGTCGTCCAGCGTCCGCAAGAGAATCACTGGGCTTTCCCCGTGCCTTGCAGGTTTCTCTGGATTTTCCAGCATGTTTGGGAAGAAGAAGAAGCGGCTCGAGATCTCGGCGCCCTCCAACTTCGAGCACCGCGTGCACACGGGCTTTGACCACCGCGAGCAGAAGTACACTGGGCTGCCGCAGCAATGGCAGAGCCTGATCGCCGACACCGCCAACCGGCCCAAGCCCATGGTGGACCCCTCCTGCATCACCCCCATACAACTGGCTCCCATGAAGGTAGGCCCCGATTGCCTCGCCCACCGCCTGGCTTACGTAACGCAGCAGCAGGGGGCGCTGTTTGATACACATCATACAGGAATAACAGCGGGGGAGGTGTTAAACATGAAGTCGTGGGCAGCTTGCAGTCCTCCAGAGCTGGAGTTACTGAAGTAAAATTAGAAAGTGCAAATCACCCAGCAATCAGTGAGAATAACAAAATTCCTATTTCACCTGCCCCCCCCCCCCCCCC